CCTCAGCCGAGATCAAATCCCACACCCCGGTACCTTTACCACATGAGAATCAAGAAAGAACGTTGAAATGCTACAAGGCAAATTACAAGCAAGGAAAACAAATAAAGAAAGAAACGGACGAGACATCGACTCCGCCGGACTGTTCTACGTGTCTCAGCAGCTGGTCTGCGTTATGCTGGTTAAACACGGCGGAGCTTCCGACTAGAATTACTAGATTCTTAATTACCACCCCTGGGTGGTGCAAGGGCATCCCCGCGGGGGGAGGTTTACTTATTAAATCTAAGTCGAGCTAAGCCTTAGACTAAGTTATAAGTTATATCGAAGAATTTATTTAATATATGAAAGACGCGAAGGAGGGGTAGGAGAAATTGAGAAAAGAGGGGGAGAGAGAGAGAGAGAGAGAGAGAGAGAGAGAGAGAGAGAATGTAACGTGGAAGTAAGAAGTGGGAGTGGGGTCGTTCTCGTAATGTGGAATTCACGTTCTGCGCATGCGCGCTACATTGAACATTACTTCCGTCAGGGCGCGAGTGAGGAAAGGGGAGGTGTACCACTGGACCACGAAGAAAAGATTAAAATATAAGTTTTTTGGAGTATCGAGAATCTCTTTTGGGTAAAGGGTTATATTATATACGTCATTAGCGCGCGACAGTGTTGTTCTTTCTTGTCCCTTTGATAACGAACAATGCACGACCCTTGACCCTCGGATCAATGAAACGTACTAAGCTAATCTTCACGGAAGCTGTATCTTACTATATGGAACATCGAATTTCGTTTTGTTATTGGGCTATCAGAATTTCTTAGCCGTCAGCGTAAAGCGGGGAGGGGGTGGATCGGGTGATCCTATTAGGCGACGAGGCGTCGCGACGACCCTCGTTCCTCCATATCGCGAGAACGAACCCTCACTGTGCACTGAGCCAAGATCTAATTATATCGGATAAGCCATGACAGTCGTGTGCTCCGTTATGGGGTAGCGCGATCCCTTGCTCCAGCCAGCGGTGCGTTGCGATTTCGGTACAGGGAAACCGGAAGAGAGCCATCGGGAGAGAGAGAGAGAAAGAGAGAGAGAGAAGTATGTGTGTGCGTGACTGTATGCGTGCGAGAGAGAGAGAGAGAGAGAGAGAGAGAGAAAAGTCAGAGTGCAAAATAAAAATAAAAAGACGAGAAGAAAGAGTCCTAAGGTTTAAGATGATCACGATGAAAGTTTTTAAGGGTTCATACACACTAGGGAAATGTGAAAGTTCAGAGGATGAATATCTTATGTGTATTGTCGAAGTGAAAGTTTGGTTGATTAGATTGGTCGATTATCCAAATAAGGGTTGGAAGCTGGGAAGGGGGGGACAGAGAATTATTTGGGACACGGTGGAGCAAAGGAGTGAATTACTTGCTTCCTTCGTCATTGACTGTGTCATTTTGAGAATGGGCGAGAGAGGGGGAGAGAGAGAGAGAGAGAGAGAGAGAGAGAGAGAGAGAGAGAGAGAGAGAGATAATGGGTCACTTGTGATGTGGGAGAGTCGAAAAATGAAAAAGAAAAAAATGCAAAAAACATATAACACAAGAGATGGGCGAACCTCTAATCGTTAACGATTTAACAAATAACAAAATACTGAGTATAAACACAAAAAAAAAAAAGAAACTTGCATAACATCTCTAATAGCGTTGATCTTCTATGATTTTAATGTGTGTTCTTGCTATCGGAAATAAGTCTGGGCCAGTCTCGCTGCCTCGTGGTTTTAATAATCGAAAGTGGGCCCTGACCTTATACAACGTGGCACACACAGCTGACATCGTCGTTGTACACTGCAGTAAAACAGTCGTCATATTATCGTTGATCATACATTGTGAATTTACCTTTAATCCTAAAACTATCCTAGTCTCGAGTAGATTATCATACAAGATTACATAATATTGTACCATCGTAAACAACTTTTTCCAATGTCATCTCAGTCTGCTATCGCTACCACTGTCATAATCTTAATTTTTTCCTTTTGTAAAATCAACAAATTTTTACCCCCTAAAAAAATACTAAGAATTACAGTATATATAAAAATTACATGATCACTGATATTAAAAAAAATAAAAAAATAAAAAAATAAAAAAAAAAACGGTCCAGCCAGTAAGACCAAAATTAAGCGGCATACAAATAAAAATTGCGTCTCTTACAATTCCACAAGCGTACGCCAATCATTAAGTTTTATTCCGTTTTATTTTTTTAAAATTATATTCCAATAATCATTATCAATGTCGATGCGTCAATGATTTTGGAAAAATATTTGTTGAACATTTTTCTCACAAACGCATTTTCAACACCGACGGGTGGCATGTGTGACGCATCTCTCAATGATACAGAGTCGCGCCACGCACACGTGTCTCTCATACATAATACATGATACATAAATACATTAGCAGCATAATATTAGACACATAGCTGATGAAGCGGCCAGAGCCCACTTACGAGCCGAACGCAGCGTAATTAAACGGTCAGAAACATAAAGTTAAATAATGAAAGAATTAAATGAATAAATAAAATATATCTCTCTCTTCACTATGATAATATAATGAATAATAATTCAATCTCTCTTTGCTACCAAGTTGTACTTATTCTTAATTAATTTACTTGTACAAAAAAAGAATGTGTTAAATAAATATATAATATAATATACATCTATAAATAACATATATTATATATATATTATATATATACATATACATTATATAATATTAATTATCTTATTGATTAAATGAATTAATTGATTATTATTATCATTATTATTGTTATCATTGCGATAGTACATTATTATTATTATTATTATTATTATTATTATTATTGTCATTATTGATTACGCCATCGATTGTCTACACATACTTGCGAATATTCGAGAGCAAAGAGTACACTGGGCGTGAATGACTTTTGATGTGATCCAATATGTGCGAATAACGGTTAGTTTTTGTGATTAATATGAATTGTTGTTGCTGTTGTCTTTGTCGTTGCTATTATTATTATCATCGTCATTTACCATTGATACAATTAACAACGACGATTACAATGAACGTCGAGCGACGACGATGATGGTTATAACGACAACGATGATTGTGACGGTAATGGGGATTTCGAAATTTCGGGCCATTCTTTCCGTGTGTAAAGGTAATTCAAAGAAGTCATTAAATTAAAATAATAAGATCATACGTAGAAAAAGAAAAAACATTGTGAAGCTTCGTATTAAATCGTACACGTACACAGGGACACGCTCATGATCATCATTCGATTTATTCGCCATGTCGTTCGTGTGTAATAATTTTGAAAATTGAATCGTTCCTTTCATAAAAATTTTTTTTATTTTTTTTAATGTCATTTCTCTATCCTCTATTCATCCAATCGAGTCCCACTGCTTGCCGCTAGTCCTGACTTATTGCTTTCGTATCCAGGATGTTGCCTAACCTCAAATTTGTTAATCTCATTCTTCGTGTTCATGCCTCGTTATCGTTTCTTATCATACCTCCGCAACAGATCTTTGACCGCAGTCGCGTTTTCTCAGTGGTCGAGGTGGACGCGTGTTATCGGAACAGGAACCGGAAGAGTTAATTGAAAAAACACTGCACTAGGCTAAAAATGATATCTGCTCTCGGTGCTACGTTTGCTTCGAGTCTCGTACTGATTTTCAATTACGATCGCGCAATGGATAACGATAAAAATTTGTGGCGGGTGAAATAAGGTTATGAGAAATATGAACGATGAAAATATATATTCGCAGGACTTACCGTTATATATATATATTTATTTTTTTCGTATCGCATACACAGACAAAGACATGTAGTTTTTAAAGAATCTTGTAATATCTAAAAAAAACAAATAACGTTTTTAACGGCTTGGGTCCCTTTACATTTATACACTTATATATATGTATATATATACATACATTCGAATACGTATGGTACACGGGACAAATCACGTGCGCAGGAACGAAGTGATAAATAATGAAGTTAGAAGTGTGACGGTAGTAAATGAGTACCGAAAGTTATGATTAACGAATCTTACTAAGCGTTACGGATGGTATTAATTGGAAAAGTTTGTGAAAAGTTTCAAGAAAATAATTAAGAATTGTGAAAAGATTTTTGAACGCCCATTGGAACCATTGACCGTGTGTTTACCATATTTTAATTTGACTGTTGTGTGTGTATGTATATACATGTTTTATACTTACCAGGGATTCCTAACGTACTCTCTTCTAGAATCTAGATAGGCCAAATCTATTTGTCGAATACGAATCGAGTGACGGTTGACTCGCTGGACGCCATGTTGGAAAAGTGAATGCTGGGAAATGTCGCGCGTTGATTTGAATTCTTTATGGATATACGTTGTGTCTGTGGAATAAAGGCTGGTTTCCATTGGCGACAGGGGATCTATCGCGACTTGAATTGTGGCGGGACATTATTTCCTTCCTTACCTTTTTATTCCTAAGACATTTTATCGAGTCTCGGGGAACTGCGGAAAGGACTTGTGGCCACACGGGACTTAATTAACGTTTTAATGTACACGGTCGGCCATCTTTCCTTTCGCGGTATCAAAGCCCTGGACTCTACTTGCATACATATACACTGAGAAGATTGTATGATAACATTAATTAGCGTACGATTTAAGCGTATATTATTAATTGGGGTATACCCATGAGCCTTTCTCTTAGACTTATCGCAGACTCGCGACAATGGGCTCCGACGGAACCCTTTCGGCTGTGTCGCAATTGTCGACGACACGGATCGAGAGAAATACGAAGGAACTTTTAGGTAAACGGCCGACTGGGCTGAGGAGCGCATTACGTCACGGGAATGCACTTCTTAGATTAAAAACTCATTCTACGACTCTTGTCCCTTGGATTTATGAATGACCGTCGCGACGCTTTGGCCGCGTCGTCGATTCATTGTTTTTTTGTGATTTGAACTTTTTTACCCTTTTTTTTTTCTTTCATTTTTGTAATTTTCTTATTGGCCTTTTTTTACTTTATAGATCGCCATTAATCGTAAATGTCACATGCCGTTCGAAAATGTATTTGCGTCTTTGTCCCGTGCGACTTGTCGATAGTTTGTAATGGCGGATTTTTGAAAATGAAGATCGAAGGTGAAGAAAGAAGATGAAGATGGATTCTCTTCATTTCCGTCCCTAATCACATCCTTGTATATTTGTAAGTTGATTTTTTTTCTTTGATTTTAAAGAATTTCTTGCAGATGCTTTTTTGCCCTTTTTCTATTTTTAATTGTGCCGGTACCGGGGAAACAAGAGACTGGACCGCGGAACTCTAGCAATAACTGAAAATGGCTGCTTATATCTTTATAGATTGGAAAAAGTGATTTTAACTCTTTTTCTTTTTTTTTTTTCTTTTCTTTTTCAAAGAAGAGCGTATGGTTGTGTCGTATGGGAATTCGAGAAACATAATACGGTGCCTCCAATGACGGTCTCTATTTTCCGTGGCGATTTCAAAAATTTTTAATTCTCACCTTAAATACTTTCTTATCACTCTCGTATACCAATTCATTCCTATTGATCGGTATTAATTTTCAAAATTTCTCCACGTTATCTCTGATCATTATCAATTTTAATTTTTCTTTTTCTTTCACTCGGACTGCGATTGCGTCTCTCGTGTATGTTATTGGTAATGCGTTGTCGTCCGAGAGAATTTTCATCCCCGAAATCAAAAATTTGGAAAACAAACAATTTTCAAAATTCTCCAAACCGCATTTATCGACCATATCAATAAATCCGACGTGATCGATTCGAGAAATTAAACAAAAAAATCATCTCGGACGACCAACTAGCAATTGGTCGTCAATTGTCAAAAAAAAAAAAAAACACCAAGTGCAATATCGCGTGCGTGCGTATTAAATTGTCTGCGAGGACGACGCCCTGTGAAAATTGTCCAAGCGCCCCGTGGCCATAACGAGGGCACCTTGAAAAAGGCACCTCTTGAAAATTTCATTAAAAAGTTCATACAAACAAATTTTCAAAATGCAAAATCGTTCCTTACGGCGCCAATACAATTTTCCAGTAACTCGTCAAAATTTAAGTAAAAATACATATAATTATTAATTAAGTAAAAGAGATCCTTATCACGTCTTTCTATCCATATGCGTATCACGTCTCCATATGAGCACAGTCATACGCATACGTAATACAGGGTGATCGTGTGTGTGGCACGGTTCTTTTCCAACAATAGACACGTGATGTTCATAACCATTGAAAGTAAACGAAAAAGGCCGTCCTCCTGGAACACCCTGTACATACATCCCTTATAATCTAATAACGATTAAAAACCATCGAAATAATTTCAATCAAACGTCCTTTTCATCCAGTCTATCATTTTCCCCATTGTTACCAATCAAATCGCGATCTACGTTAAGCGGATCGATAACGCGGCGAGACGGCAGATACGACAGAAGTAAAGAGTGACGAAACGAAAAATGAAAAAATTTAACAATTTTCAAAACACAACTCAATCCACTGTACATACATACGTTTTACTAAATAACCCTTAAAGAAAACAGCTATTGTAAACCTAAACTGTAAGTCTTCGACTATTTCGTATTAAATTCAAATTTCATTCAAACTTCATTCGACGATGTGAAAATTTCGAATTGTTCGATAACGGCAATGAATAATGCGATGAACGAGCGAATGACGTAATATATGCATATATATACATATATTTGCAAAAAAAAAAGAACGACAAAAAAAATTCGAAATGAAAATTTTACATTTCTCGAAACGCCTTTCTCCACTAACGCCATTTTTTCTCAGCTATTATCACGTTATTCTCTTTCTCTTCCGAAAGTAAAAAAAGCATGACAAAAAAAAACTAAGAAAAAAAGAAACAAAATTAAGGGACGTTCAAACAAACTGAACTATACACATACATGCATATAGAGATAACCATTGACAATTGTCATTGTTCGTTGTTACGTTATCGTTGTCCCTTATCAGTTTGTCCTATCTCTTCGATTAGCCATTGATAATCGATAATTATTATTATCTCATCGATAATCTCATTATCAATAATTCTTATGAATTTTTATCGACGAAAGGATGTACACTAATTACGCAATTACGTCTTGTACCCGTAAACGATACGTTATTACCTTAAAAATTAAATAAACAAAAAAAGTCTTACTTATACATAATATAAATACGTCACGACGAGCATAATAGGTAGATATGCATATATACATTTATATGCGCAATAACATATCCGCATATACGTATATATGCATGTATACGTACTTATAAATAATAATTACGATAATATAATGATATTATTATTATTGACGCGATTATTATTATCATCATCATTATTATTATTATTATTAATATTATTACTACTAAACGAGGAAATAACGCCCTAATCCCATTTGTTGTGAATGTTTACGTTGTTTTATGATATTCGAAATATTCTAAAAATAAAGTCTATGATTTCCATGTGGACTTGTCGATCATTAATCATCAAATTTTTTGTCGGATGACTATGGCTGATTTATTTTTTATTTTTTTTTTTTAACGTTTGATTATCTCTGGCTTCGATTCAATGAGAAATCCAGGGTCGAGGTACGTTGAGTTTGTTTTGAAGCAAATTCTTTGAGGATTACTCGCACGGTGGTTGATAGTGAATTAATAATATTTGATACAGGTAGTATCAACAGAGTATCTGATCGATGGAATAAAAGGATCCGGTGGTTGGATCGGATCGTCAGTTTATTCCTTTAGTGCAAGATGAGAGCTTGGTGCTGTTTTTGGTTAATGCTGGTGGCGGTCATTTTCGTCTCCTGCAATATTCACGGTGAGTTTTTTGTTTCGAGGGTCTGAAAAGATTTAGGGAAATTTTTTAATTTTAAAAGGAGGGAAGTAAGCTTGTACCTTATTTTTAGTTCGTGCGAGGAACGTCAGGGCGCCACTGCAGAGACTGAGGTATCCTGGTGCAGGTTATGTTCGTACCAACTCAGCTGGCTGTAAAATTGGACAAGTAAAGTCTTACGAGCATCGAGACGTGAACGGAGAATCGGAAAACGCTGATTGGAAACTGGCGAGAAAGAATTTACCGGGACGTGACATTCAGGATGAGGTATTGTTCTTGATAAGAGATATAAGCGTGGAACATGAGTTTAACAAAGACTAGACTAGCCTGTCCGGTGCGATTGTGCAGTAGGTGAAATATATTTTTGAAAAATGTACATATCTGTTTACGTAGACCAAGATTCAGGACGTCGCAGAAGAGTCAGCTGGATTGTCGGTGTACCAAGAGAACAAGGAATATCAAGTAAAGCCAAGAAATCGATGGAAAATGATGTACGCTACGAAAAATGACAGCATCAAGGCTGATTAAAGGAATTGTCAGTCCAAGTTATCCCTGTAGTATTTGTCAATGTGAATTTTAATAAAAATAGCTGGTAGTCCATTATACGTTTATTGATTGTTCAATTTCAACTAATAGCAGACATCGTGACGTGACTCTTGTTCCAAAGGGTGGATTGGAAAATCTAGTTAATGGGGTTGGTAATACGACAATAGCTATTAGCTCGGCTATTCTGACTTAATGCCATTAATTATTGTGACATACTAAAATATTCTGATATCGAACGATTCTCAGTGCAATTATCCGCAATTGCGCGACGCTGCTGTAATAACTGGCTATGGCGAACACGCGATGAAGAGAATTCATAATGACTCAAGGTGCATCTGCAGTTTGTCAAGTGAATAAGGGCTTAGTCCACCGGCTTGAAACTTGACGAGTCATGGATATTTTTGAGACTCGAAATTTCATTGTGAACAAACTTTTACTGGGAATTCTTGGCGTCTAGCCGTATTAATCACCATTTCGAAATCCTTTTCATGCATTTCTTTTCTGCCTGTGCACGTCCACCGTGTCTTGGACGGCAGTTTTATTGGTACGGAATGACGAAATGTCTTTTTTTTTTGTAATTATCAAAATCAAACATTTTTAGTATTTACCTTTTTGTGTTTTCTCAAGGCACCATATCTTGTGTACGCGTGGGGCGATTTGCCGCTATTTACAGAAATCCTAACGACATTTGTAACATTATTAATTAACATTACGAAACTTACTAATTCTGTCATAAGGCATGATAAGGTTTGTGTATACAATAGTACTATTTTTATTGGCTACTAATATTAATCACTGTTGTCCTCATTGTTTCTCAATCTGTATAGATGAGAGATTTTCTTGAACAAATTAAAACGGATTACGACACTCCGCAAGACGATTTCGAGGCAAAAATTTATAAAAGATACGCTGATCGTACCAGGAAATTTTCTATCGGTTATGCAGGTAAGAACTGATCTATATATTTTCTGCCTGACGAGGCATAGGTATGCCGTTACAAAGGTAAAACAGAGATCTAGTATTTTTAACGTACCTACAGAGTGAACGTAAAAAATCTGTTTTACCGACGACAGATTACATCTTTTTCCTTTCTTCACTTATCTTTTCAGTCTGGTGTCACGCTTCATTTTCACTATACATTATTGGACCTTTCCTTAATCACACAGAGGAACGACCATTTCCAGGGCATACAAAATATCCCTTAGACGAAGACAAATATTATTGGTTCATCGTATCTCATCAGTCGATATGTACTTTTACCGTTTCCGCCATCACTGCTGCCGTCGATGCACTTTTTGTCATGCTCGTTCATCACATATGCGCCAAATTTGCAGTACTTGGGTGAGCACACGTATTCTGATGATTTTTCAAAAATATTAAAACCGATACAATTTTTTCGAAGATATAACCTCGAGAAAATCGGCGAGGATCTATCAGAAAGTCCATCGGCGCAAGACGAGCTGGAAACGTATAAAAAAATTGTGAACTGCGTAAAAAAACACAAGGAAGCTATAGGGTAATGAAATGTATCCTCACACAAATAGATTTAATATATCATCGTAAATAATAATAACATCGTCATTTTGATATTCTTAAGTTTCGCTGATTCAATGGAGTCAGCATTTTCTATACCAACGTTCATCAATCTTACGATGAACATGATAGTAATGAGTACTTCCGGTTTTGTAGTAAGTAATTGCATAATTGTAATTAAATAAAAGGAAAATTACCGAGTACCAAGCAATAATTTTCTTCAGATGCTAGCCAACGTCCATTCGATACCAAATCTAGTAAAATACATAGGATTGTCAGTCACCCTAACCGTTCATCTTTTCTTCATGAGTTGGCCAGCCCAGGAGATGATGGACCACAGTGCAGAAATTTGCGAATTCGCGTAAGTTATAAATTTGTCAGCGATACGTGAATTATGCAATAAAATTACCAACAGGTATTTCGCATCATGGTATCGCACATCGCAAAGATCTAAAAATTTATTGAAGTTCCTGATGATGAGGAGTCAAGTTCCTTGCAAGTTGACAACAGGAAAGCTCTACGTCATGTCCTTGGAAAATTTTTGCGCGGTAAGGATACGGACGCAATGGACACCCACCAGGTACCAACTACTTGCCGGTCGCACCAACCAAACCAACAGGTTTTCTCAACCTTTCAGGTCCTGAAGACGTCCATGTCCTATTTTACAGTATTAAAGTCCTTGAGAGACTAGAAGATCTGTGTAACCAAAAAGATAGAAAAAATCAGTACGCAAATAGATAATACAGATTAATACTGTATAGTGAAAGTATATATGTATATATATATTTTTTTAACTATCCCTTGGCCACGTGCCCACACGCCATATGGTATGGCGGTCGTTTTGAAGCTGCCTGTATCGTAGCAGATTGTCCAACCTGGAGAGAACGATCTATCATTCTCTCTTCATGAGGTACGCACTCCACCCCCTGCTCAGAATCCGCTAATTGGATAGAAATGAGTAACGATAAAACGGGTTGGCCAACAAGAGAACCGAATGGTGAAATTCAGTATAATTTTCTTTTAAACGCCTCAGTACTGGTCTTAGCATAATATATGCTTATGAATGATTTTTATAGAAAAATCATTAGTCCTTAGACAGTCGGTATTACCTCCCTAATGAAATTACACGACTTTAGATTTTCTCTTGGCATCCCATCATCATCATCATCATCATCATCATTATCATTATCATCATCATCATCATCATCTATAGGAAGTTCGTATCAACATAGGAATCTACCCTATGGACTCTTCCAAGTAACACCTTGCTACCTTCATGTACTGTAAAAGAAGTAGGTATGTGAATTTTTCTGTATACATATACATAGACCAAGAGGTAGTATTTCTAATATAGTCTGTGTATTTGGTAGTTTATACACTGTAAGATAGCACTAATTGCAAAGGCGGAAATGCAGAGAGGGGATGCATACCCTATCTTGGCACGCGACGGTTGATCTTGCCCTCTTTTCTTTTCTCCTTGTCCTTAAGCTTCTTCTCTCTCCTTTCAAGTTATCTTTGGCATCTTTTGAATTTAAAGGGACGCCCCTGTGATACTATCAAAGCCTTCTCCTTTGCCATACAGGTACACAGATAAAGAGCACCAAGTTCCTGGTTTGCCTAAAAGTTAGAAAGTCATTGGTAGGAAAACAATTGACAGTACAAAAAATGATTAAATGATTCATAGTCAATTTCATAATTTACCTTATATTTTTTATATTAAGAAGTGTGTTGTTACTCGATGAGGTCATTTTTGGAAATTCTTAATGGACAGCCATTAGTCCATCCAAAATTTAGATCCTAGGTAAGAGATATGAACGCCACGATTGTTTCTTAGGAAAAGACTAGCCGGAAATGGAGGAGGTACCAGAAGAAAATCTGAAAATAAAGGTAAAAGAAGGTGAGAACCATGAGGAATATGAAGAAGAAATATCCTGGACTCGAGGTCGCGTGCCGTTGGCTGCCTTGTTTCCTCAATTTTTTTATCTCGAATCCTCCTTATTGTTCTTAAGCTCGTTATGTCAGGATCGTTGGCCCATTGTGGCCACCATTGTAATGGCATCTGTCGTTCATCCCTAGGAAAAAGGCACCTAACCTAGTAACCAGAGACCCCGAAGGAAAATAAGTCCGGGAAATCGGAAATTGAAAATTAATTTACGGCATAGACCACAAGACCAGTGTCGATGATTACGTGTAATTTTCTTCACGAATTTCGCCTGCACGGATCCCAAAACTGTGTATAGCAGCATCTACCTAGATTTCCAAAATGAATCCTTCATTATTTCTACAGCCTATCATATAGATAAATACTAAATATCCAATGTACAACACAACCACCATCATTTTTTGAATATGTTTAGTAACTAATCTCCAAAAATTAAATTTTTCAAAATTATTCTCCATCAAAATAATACCTTTTTCAGGTACATCAGCTGGTTAACTATTTGGAGCAGGTATCTTACCCTTACACATTGATGAGGGTCCCTTTAAAGTTCTACTATATACAGATATCTATATACTATATGTACAGGTATGTACCATAAATAAAGTGAATACAGTCAAGAACCAAGTGGCAGTAACGGTAGTGGGGAGCGAAGGTAGTAGGTTATAGGTACTGTAGGTAAAGGTACGAACGCGTGGCACCAGGTGCGTATTATCTAGGGATGAGCACGAAACGAGGCGGCACCATATGTTGATGTGCCGAAGAACGCCCCGGCACGCGCCACATTCGAACGCGAACCTTTACTCGGCGAGGACGAAGAGAACGTTCTCTTCTCATTCCTCGAGAATACGTGGTGCATTCCTCATTGCGTAGCTACATTGAAACATAGCAAAGAGAAAAGTCTGATTAAAAAAAAAAGAACACGCGAACAAAGTAACAATAAAGTGCGTGATAAAATTATGCGTAAACAGTATCAAGTTCTGATGATGATTTTCATGTGAACTTTTGTGACCTCACTCTTTGACTTATGAGCCGAGATGGCGTTGCTCTCGAATCATCACAACAGCTATCAAACATCATCGGAAATGATTGATCAAGCATTTCCAACGCCTAGTAGAAATTATGATCCGCTTTATCCGTCGCCTTACAATTCGCCTAATTACGAGACTATGAGGAGCTCGTACAGGGATGGATATCAGATGGAGGGTTGCGTTACCCCTAGAAGAGAATTTGAAAATTTGGATTTTGGCAGAGAATCTATGGAGTACACTAGGACTCCTGAAGGATATGAAAGAGCCCCTTATGGAGTTTTGACACCATTGACACCTCAGAGGTTAGTTTGACATTGATCATTTAATGTAAAAAAAATTGTTGTGATCGGTGATTAACGAGTATATTAATTATTTGATTAATCTTAGATACGATCCACAACATTCTATTGATCATACAACATCACCGAGATCTACCCTGTACGAAGAAAATTCCATGGAATATCAAAATCCCATGTACTGCTACGAGACGCCACCCCAGGAACCAAGATATCATCCCCTGGAGAACAAAGTCCAGTCGAATCCGGAATCACAAGCGCCGTGGGATCCAGTGACGGCGGCTCATGTAAAGATAAAATTTTATGTGAAATTTATATGGTGAAAAAATTTGAAAATTTATACTCAATCGACCTCACTTTCTTTTTCCATAGAAAATTCAGTCTTCACCAACTTCCAGTCCAAGAAGAGGTCGTCGAAGATCCAGGGACGTACCACCGTCCCCCAGCGTCTTGAAGCGTCGTCGTCTCGCTGCCAATGCACGTGAAAGACGTCGCATGAACGGCTTGAACGACGCTTTCGATAAACTCCGTGAAGTTGTCCCCAGTTTAGGCGCCGATCACAAGCTCAGTAAATTCGAGACGCTGCAGATGGCGCAGACCTACATTGCTGCGCTTTGTGATCTTCTGGAAAGACACGACGGGAAGAGATAAGTGAATTAATTAGTTAAATAGTTAAGACGTATGTAAAGTTAATTTTTGGGAGGTTAAGTATAAATAGACAGATAGATTATTAATAAGGAATTAAATAAGTTATTGTATCGTTGAGGATCATACGGCAGATACCAAAGACGGGTGAGTTTTGAGTATTTATATTAGTTTTTATAAAAAGATGGACAGCTAATGATCCAAAGACTAATTATTGCCTTATCGTGTTGCCATTGTGCAAATGACAATAATCGATGGTAATGATACTTAATATTTAAATTGTGCGAATTCCTAATTAGCTCATAATTATGTATTAGATCATGCGTGAATTCCGTGCCTTAGGTGGACACTCGTATTTTTAATTATTATATAATACGTTTTAACGTATCAGGTCCCTTAATGTGTCCGTCCATTTTTAATGACCACGTGATTACTAAGTATTTAGTGTATAGTGCTTTTTTTGTTTGTCTTATCATTTTTTTTTTACGTTTGTATCTAGTCAGAGATTTGTGTAAATTCAATTGCGTCCAGTACGTTTCTTTTATATCTATTTCCTATGAAAACTATGCGCTTTAGAATTTCACCTAGTATATTTTAATCAGCAGTTAGTTTCCTCTTAATTTAGACAATCACCGCAAGACTTAATTTTTACCATAAAGGATATCGTGTTCGCCAAAGAAAAATTGTAAATAGCCAAAATAGCACTTTGTGTGGCCAAAGAAACGAGAAAAAATAAGTCCCCTATACAGAACCCTCAAGAGATTAAAACGTCCCGAAGACCTCTTTGTATTTTTCGAAAAATTTTAATAAACAGAAATTAATTAAAAAGGAATCATAATTGTCAAATAATCCAATTATACAAGTGTTTCCTAATGCAGGTAAACAAAGGAGTAAAAAAATAATTCTTGCCAAAGTCAACGATTCAAAAAAGAAGTGTCAGTCTAATTTTCTACAATAAAATTAAGGCAGAATTGACTACTGATAATATGATACAATCAGCATAGCTTCACATGAGACACGAATCCGCCATGCGTGCCACATCGGGCGGTATTAAGGTAGAGAATGAGTATCGCATTCTGTGTATTCGCCATGCGTGACCAGCGATTTTCCAGTGAGTACATACGCGTGCGCGTAAGCGTGCCAGGTTCAGTCAAGTCATTAATTGAGAAAGAGAAACACGAGTAAAGTCATATACGAGTGCATTAAAACATTTTTTAAAGCATCAATAAGTCGTAGTATACAGTAATAAAAATATATTAAACCAAGCTATGACGTTTTCAATTCTCGAAAAACAATTGAAAGGAAAAAGTAAATTGGTGCACCAAACAAAAATATGACTTCCGTTTGATGGGACCACGATGGCACGAGTCCCCATAAAATCGCCATATGGCACCATGGCGCGTTGCCAAACTCACCCTATGGTCGAGACAAAATGGAACCGAATGCATCTTACCCTCTGTTACTTTAATTCAGTGTCTTTTCAGTTTTGTTCCTTCGTCCTTCTTCCTTCGGCAGAAGAAACATTCTGGAAGCCCAACTGGGAGTCGATGCGTCGGCACTATTGAGATGGTCGAGAGAAAAGGTTGACACCAGGTGTCGAAAATTCCTGTCATTTTGCTGGGCCTCCATTTTCGATATTCAATTAGCCCAGGCTCTCTTTTCTCTGTGAGTATATATTTCGCTTGAAATCTTTCAAATGAACAGCACACTCCACTGCCTTCACGATATTCCTAATGCTTTTGTATATCGGTGTAGGTTATGGTACTGTAAGGGACACTGTGAAAAAATATTTTCATACTTCGACATACTGGCACATCGTAATGAAAGGAAGTCAAAAAGTAAAAAAAGATACTTTAATATAGACGAATATATCCCTGAACTTTAGTATGACAATTTAGAATTCAATTATCAATACCTGTGTACGCTTGGTCTCGTTAACATCCAGTTGATATGTTGACAGTGCTACCTGGGAGAGGTCGACCATTTGGAGAAAATTGTTTGAACAAATAAAACAGATTTATTTTTAGTGATATTCACAGTACAGTCCCAACCAGCAAAAGAACAGTCTCTTCGATCGTTGGTAGGGTTATCAAACAATGTAGAATTGACAGGAGACTCTTTCTCTAGTTTCAGTAATATCAGGCTCGTCAAAATTTCTAAATAATCCTTAGAGAACCATGACTTGCTGCATAACCTACGATTCCTTGAGCACTATTTTCAAGCCAGGGCTCAGACTTCGAGTAAGCGACAGCACACGCTACGTTAGCACGTTTTTGAATGGTGCAACCTGACATAACCTTCCCCTTTCGTTTCGTCGCAATGGGTAACGCCATTTCCAAAACGTGCTGGCGTAGCGTGTGGTATATCACTAGTACGGAGTCCCAGACGCGATAATCCAGTTCGAAGAAAGGATGATGAACGAGCAACGAGACGAAAGAAAAATTGAGAACAAAATGTCGCCACGGTATTCGAGTCGAACGGTTGTCGAACATCGAGCTACAGGATAGCCAACAACATTCCGTCCGCGACGACTGCCGACGACGACGACAACAGCGCCACTGACTTATTGCGACGGTTCATTGTAACGACGTACAACTACGGCGACGGTCGGACTTCGGTTAGGTTTGTCGCGAGGATCGTTCGCGCGCAATCGAGTGAGATGTCAGAGACGCGTGAGGGCATGAGGGTGCGCCTTAAAAGGCGCCTCACCTCGCGGGAGTCCTTAATCGCGCCCGCTCAATGGTCAATTAACGCTCGCTAAATCCCGCTTGACGATCGATCGGAGAATCGGTGGATCGACCGTCGCTCGCGATGAGAACGCCATGAGAATGTGAACGGCATTCGCAATGCGATAGCGAGAACGGAATAATGTTTTCATGGAACGATCTGTGGTATTTCGACGCGCTTCTTTCTTGTTGGCAATACAACTTTGCCCTTTTGGAAGACACCTTTTTTTATTTTACTTTTGGAAACAATTGTGTTTCGAGCAATACGTGCATAATGGGGTAAGTTTTTTTTTTTTGGAATTTAGTTTTCAACCCTTTTCACGAGTTTTCATGATTTTACTTTTCAAACGGACAAATCTGTCAGTTTGAATTCTTGAGGGCGGACAGCCAGACACGTGCCGAACAATAGGATCTTGTTAGGGATTTCGAAATTTTTTCGGAAATGAAAACTTATTCTTCCAGTTTATTTTCGTGAAAATATCCCTTCGTTTGGATCGATTAGAAATGACCTAATAAAATATACCAATGCACTGCCATGATTGAATACAAAAAATCCATTCCGAGATTAGAAAGATGGCGGGTCCAAAGGGTACTGATACCGATCAGCAAAAAGAAGTCGTAAACCCTGTCCCGAGATCAATCGCGATCGAATGAGTATAGAAAGAGGCCCAAAGCGGTCGCCGCTTGAAAACAATGCTGCTGTAATTATGTGCACAAGGTGCTACCACAACGTTCGCCACGATTATTATTAAGGGGTTAGATATGTTAATGACAATACTATCTGAGCAGGTGGTAGACTTTTTCACGGGAAGGCAGTAAGAAAGATCACAGTACAAGACAAGAACAGGTGTCTGCTTGGCCAGTCTCACTCGCGGGGGTGTAAGACGAAAAGAAGGGAGAAAAGATAAAAAAAAATAAATAAAATCGAGGTTACCGACCTCTTTTAAATTATTCCAAAATTCACCCTAGAGTTTATAGGCCCCATAAACATCATCGAGACCCATACCAAAATTCCAGCGGGTTCCAAGGTGGCGCTTAGATCGGTATGGATAGGCCCAAAATGATCTTGAGATTTCTAAAAAAAAAAATTCACATTTTTTTTTCAGGCTCATTTTTCTTATACCACTCCATGGTAAATTTTTCAATGATTTTTTTTCATCCGAAATTTTTAATTTTTAAAATTACAGTTGGGCCTTACCGGAAATGGCACCTATACCGTTGCCAATCATTAAAAGATTTACTTGAACGATTTTTAATGATCTTTCTCTTCCTTAGGTGCGATCATGACCACAAATTATGCCTACTGACCCTCGCTTACGACTTACGACTTACGCCTTTGAGATCGACGCCTTACCGATAGACCGGTCATTTTGCCTAACAAGCCCACCCAGTCGACTAAGGCCCCAATTCTTTTGGTAATTCGGAAAGACGGTGATTTTGACACGCAAAATGAAACGAGGGCGGTCACGTGCTCTGCGATTCCCTGCAAATTGCCACCTTCTATCTGTCCCTTCCCTGACGCTCCAACACCACAAAGTAGTCCCATCCAAGGCCCAACTCTGTCACCCCATTAAAGTCAAAGCCGGCGCGATGATGAATGGCGCCAAGGTTTAGATAAAATCTACTAATACACAAGATAGGTGGTCCATTCGCAAGACGTTAGTTCTCACCCCACACGTGATTTTCATCCCATCCTAAAAAAAGAAAGATAAATTTAACAATTTTTGAAAAATGTCAATTTTTCAAAATATTCCTAATCATACCCTTTTTACTTGTCCGAGTTATCATTATGCATTTCCAAGAAGAATTTTATGTATCTTGTGACATGTCAAAAAAAAAGTATATATTCTATGCCAAAAATGGTCGTGTTATTTTCATGCGAAAGACAAAGAAAGCTTTACGATTCCTTTTCACGGAACGTCAACCAGCCAGGAGAGACGCTCTGAGTTAGTTGTATGCGATTTTAAGAACTGTCCAAGGGGCAACACACGGACGATTGAGTCATAAAAATGATCCTTTCGAAACCCGATCTGGATTCTATATAGCCTCATTACGTGAAGGCTCGCGTTCCGTTAGAAGGATTGCACGCGTCCCCTTATACGAATCCACGTAAAAATCGACAACCGATTTTAAATTACCTCGTTATACGTAGACCGATAATGACGCTCACGAATTCTCCAATAAAGAAAAAGAAAGAGAGAAGAAACACGGTATATGGAAAAACGTGAGGAAATGTGTCAAGATTTTCGGACGGTTCGAAAAATCGGTACCACAGATAACGATCTACGTCGGTGCGGTCCAAGATGAAGATTCTATCGCCATATTTAAAATCCTCTTCACATTTTTTTCTCCCTCTTCCTCTTCCACCTCGTTTCACTGATTAGGCCACGTGCTAAGAAGCGTGTCAGCTCTGACAGTTATTAGACAATGAAAATGTTTGCCAACAGAGCGGGAAACTTCAAAAGAGGCTTCTTAGCCTTGAAGACGAGGCAGATAAAAAAAATTTTTAATTTTTATTTTTTTCCGCCCCAAAAATATTATTTTTTTATTATAATTTTTTTGTATTATCTTTACGTTATTTTTTTTGGGAAGACAATTTTTCAATTTTATATTAGCTAAATTTTTTTTTAAATCAGGAAATCATTACACGTAACTCACAAATTTTCTTCTCTTGTTCTTTTATTCTTGGATTGTCCTATACGTCCATTACACGCTCGGACGAAGCATGACGATGTATTTTACGCTGGTTAGCAAGAGGGCGTGGCGAGTTGAACGGTAAGAGACGCAAGGACTTCGATGTCTGGTTGAGTCGAGAGTACCGACAGCCAAGACAACTATTCCAAGAGAGATAAACGACCAAGAGAGTTAAAAACGGCGGCCAGTATCGTAACATTGGTATATAGAAGCAGGAGAAACGAGTCAATCGGTTACAGTGAATTTGAATCCCATAATTTTCCCGCGTTTCGATTCGAAACGCCTAGCGGCAAAAACCGCAGGATTCAAATGGTCCGAATGTCTCAATTGGCGAACAATGAACCAGGCTTAAATGGGTTGCATTGTCCCGGGCGTCAGAGAGCGTTCAAGGGTTTGACACGATGTTACAAATTTTGGAGAAAAACTGGAAATTCATAGTCTTCGATACTGTGAATCGTAGTGGCTGGACGGTTGCCAAGGGTAAGGAGGCGGAAAGTCGTGGGACATTTTTTAAAAGAATGGTCACTTGGGATTTCTTGGGCGTGACCCAAATGGTCAAGCATCGGGCAAATCGATTTCAGGCATAATTTACGTGAGGAATGGTTCGCCACACCCATCACTCTTTGCAAAATAGAAATTAGCCTTTCTCCGTTGGCTGCCACGTGATTCCCTAAACCCTGTCGACGCCATGGCGACTCATATTTTGAAGTTATCCGTTATAGCTTTTCAGACTATTTATTTATTTTTTGTATCTCACTACGGGTGGAGTCTCCCGTCGCTAATTACAAAGGTAACGGGTGACTAAGTAAAAATTATATTTTTATTATTATACATTTGGCCAAAGTGCGCCTACCATACGTATTTGAATCGCATAAAGTTTCCCGCCATCATTTATCATCGCTCTTCACGTATTAAATGTCACTTCCTTCTGAATACGGAACGAAGTCATTGGACTCGGAATGGAAGCACTAATGGTACCTGGCGGATGATTTAGCAAGCTTCTTAGTGCGAATAGAGAAATGATAAAGAGATAAAGATAACGAGTGATAAACAATAGAAAAAATACATATTGCCATAAATTATATAATATATATATTATTATATATATTATACATAAGTAAAAATCATATACTATATATATGTATACAGAGGCCTTGTGATCGCTACCCTTATGGTGTCAAAAACTACCCCTTTCGATGATCATCTCCCAGCCACCTGACTCCGTATCGAAATTTGAGGTGAATGGCTACCGGAGTCATCCCAAGTGCCGACTCGTTAACCCATTCATTAACTTAGGTCATCCTGAGCGCCTTTCATTCACTAACAAGAACACAAAGCAGAAACTCATTACAAAGATGGACGTAATACTTCAGTAGATGCCGGCGAAATTCGTCTCACGAACTCCCACGGCGCCTGGCGTCGAGACCATCCTTCGAAATTCTCATGGTTCCAAATTTTTTTTTCTAAATCCAAATCCCCAAAAAAATTTTCAATGCTCGCTTCGGGTTTGATATAGATACCCAAGTAGAGAGACCATGCTGAATAGGTGTGCTAAAATAAAAAAAAAAAAAAGAAAAATAAAAAAAAAAAGAAAAATTAAAAAAAATAGTAAAATTTAAAAATTCTTTTTCATATCGCAGTGCCACTTTTTGAAACTACCCCTGGATTATTATAATGGGGTATAACTGACTATGAGCCAAGTGGTCTTTAGACAGAATGGGGTCGCAGCGACAAAACTAATGGCGGATCGCGTGAGGGCCTAGGGCGGCTTGATCGAAAACGTTCGTTTTCGAAAAATGCCCTTCCTGGAACTCGTGTCCTTAAGAGAGCAAAGGGTTTCAGCTTGGGGGCCATACTCGAAAATTCCATAAATATCAGGACACTTAGGTACGTTGGTACTGGGACTGCGAATGAGGATTTTCAAATTGGGTTAACTCGGGCCAGGACTAGGTTGGGTTAGAAAATATGGATCATCAATTTGAACGGTTTTGTTTCTGCTGGTAGCTGGGATTTTTCCTGAGGTCATCCCTTGCGACCTACCACCTACCGGCTCGTCAGGCACGGGGTAGTAACTCAAATAAACGAAGATTCGTCGCGGTCCCCGATTATCTTTTGTTACGATTATATTATTGGTTATTAGGTTAGCGACAAAGACGCCGCCCTTAAAGACCCTCACGATGACTTGGCGTCTCCCTGTGTCTCTAGCTCGCACGAGTTATACGAAGCATAGCTGAAGCACTGGAAAACTAATTAATTAATTCATTAATTAATCACAAACCCACAAATTCACACCTAACCTAACCTACTGCCTTACATAACCTTATAAGCTTATAGGTACGCAATGGAAACTGGTGTAGGATTAATTTATTAAATTAAAAATTTTTTTTTATCTTATCAAAACTCATTGCCACAACCCTGTGACGTCACGAACAGATTTTTCATCCCTTGGGATCACTTTGTCCTGTTTCGTCCTTTGGTCCTTGTCGCAGGGACGATCTTCTTCAAGTTGTTCGAAAACTACCGTTTTCTTTCGATACTTGGAAACACCCCTTCAGAATTTCGCTGGCACGATCCACCCGTACCAATAAGTTCGGCGAAAGTCTGGCGCCTGGTTCGTGTTTCCTCGCGACAGGACGCCGACAACGAGTGACCTGGTGACAGAAAAAAAAAGTCACAAAAATTATGGGGGTAAAAAAGTTTTTTTTTTTACTGAGGGTTCTTACCTTAAATATCCTAAACGCAGAAATGCATGTTGCAAGAGATAAAGGAAGTCGGTGATTGTTTCGGGTTCTCAGAGTATGGAACATATGGCTCTTGTGTTCTGGGTCTGCGATGAGTATATCTATCATACGATTAATTAGAGACTCGCTGTAATCGGCACTTCCTACCCCTCGGGCTAACTACGAATTTGAAGAACCGTAACGAAATTGGATTTTAATTGCCGGGCATCCGAGCTGATTCCCGCCTGAGGCTGTTTGACTTTCTGTCAGCTCCCGAGAGTGAGGCTAGACGTCTCAATTAATGGGAAATACGTAGTTCCGGAAAAATTCACGTATCATCTACGAGACGTGTGCACGTGTGGATGGTAAAAAAAGTTTTTTAATACGTGAGAGGAATAAAAAAAAAACAGGAAATTTGAGAAAATCATTTTTGGTGTGAAATAATTAAGGTCCAAAAATTAAAATACAGAAATAAAACCCCCCGGAAAATCGAGACTTTCATTTTCGACCAATAGCCCGAAGGGAAATCGATTATCGATAAACGATCCCTCGCTTGACCCACATTTCCTATCTCTTTGTTATCCAACAATCAGAAATTACATAAAATGTATTATTGTTGTACAGTAAAATAACATAATCAGTATCCCCATACAGCGCATCCCTCTAGGATGTAATTCACATAAAATTATTCTATAGTTCTCCACAATAGCTGCATAGCTCCCAAAGGGAATTTAATAGGAGAATCGTTTCAGTAGAAACTAGCCCCCCAAAGATCCAACCAGGTATACACATACAAGTGCTTCATAATTATCGGTCATAAGGTCATTGATTAAATTATTTTTAAATTTTACGAGAACCCACTCTTTTTATAATCATCGAATGACATCAATTACGAAAAGGTAGGATCAACGTCGTGTCATCGATGCACACAAGTCCTCACAACTAGCATTAAGGCCTCATTTTGGTACGAAATAAAGTTCAGACCAGTGGACCCTGCCACTCGATTCTGCGTCCCAACGGCCTTTAACGTTGAGATTCCTCGCAGTCAATGAACACATCGCGCCCCACCCCGTAACAATGCAAACAACAGTCTGCTTATATAGCAACCCGCGGGGACTGGTGCAACTTGCGAGAAGCCAGTGGAACGCCCCTGACATCTATCGGGTAAAGGTTGTAACTCTTATCACTATAGTAATACACAAGATACTTGTCAGTCAATTGCGCAACTTGATTACGCATACGTCTACTTAAAATATCATAAACAGACTACATGCAGTAAGAAGAGTGACTTGAGAAATTCGAATAAGCGTTATAATAATTAACGGTAATTTCAAAACTATGCAATATTTTTTTAACAATTTTTTTTTACGCTACAACTTTGCCATTTTCGATAATAGTCCTAAGGTTAACTACCTCGAGGTCAACAGACATGGCAGTCGTAGACATTTCGCCTTGAGGTACATTCCGGTCTCTGGGGCATTTCCATCGAAACAGTTTTCGACCGTGTCTCGACCTACGTAATATTTGTATGTAATTCGTCAATTTGACAAGAATCGTTCCAGAATCCACCCACGAGGTACAATTTCAGTGGCACGCGATCACCGGAATGCGAGAAGGGAATGTCAGGATTGTTAACTATAGTCTTTTGTAGAGAAAAAAAAAGAAAGATTTCTCCACGAAAAAGGATTAGACCAAGTAACAGGTCTACCGACCCCAATTCGTCGTAGTTATTGGATATAAAAAAAGGCTAAAAATTTCTATTCAAAAAATCACAACTGCATATCAATGAAAGGATCAGGTATGAATAGTCTAAAATTGTATACCAGCTATTACGATAATAATGTCTGTATCCACAAATCCGCATGCACGTAACCACCACCGAGCCTCCCAGAGTGCAATTACCCACGGTCGATATGAAAAATTATTAGCGATATTTGTATATCGATTGGAATAATGACAGGCGTGTCCTCGAGATCCAGTGGAATAAAAGACAAGAAGCCAGACGCTGGCCGGGACCGCAGACACGATAATAATTACACGCGATAGGTCTCATGGTGCTGGGGACCTTAGGTAGCAGCCACCAGCAGCAGCAGCAGCAGCAGCGCCAGACACGAAAAGGAGGGGTGGAGTCCGCTGGCTTCGCGTCGAGTGAGGCGTCGTCGACCGCACTCGAACAATAGATAAGCACGTTGGCTCCTTTGGTCCTAGCAGCGTCCCTGGACACCCTGGATACAGAGAAGACATCGAAGCCGCGGCGTGGCGTCAGTTGTCGAATTGCCTTGGCAGAAATATTATGGGGGAAAAAAGGGCGCAATGCCCGTGGTACAAGAAGACAACTGTCCGTGGTACGATCACATTGAAAAGCACGCATTAGTCTAATGATATGGGAGTTTTGAATACCTTTTGGCACGATCGCGAAAACCTGAACAGTTCCTTTTTGGGCTTGTGTCTCTTTATCTCTACGAATAATTTAGAGTCGCGCTGCCATATGTTAAACACTGTGAGCAAGTAATGACTCCATGCGCGAACGCGTCTTTTATTGTGTTTATTACACGCCTGAGTATTATTACGGCTGAGGAAGAAGGTTGCATAATACCAGAGAAACGGCACGCGCCCCGTCCAAAACATGGCGAGCAGTTGTTACTCTTATATGATTTTTTTTGTTCATGGAGTAAGACCAAAGGATCATTGAGGACGAGTGGGAATGAGAAATGTGAATTATATTGAAAAAAAAAATTTTATTTTTTTTTTGGGCCCCGGGGTTGGTAACCAAGGGCTTCTCGTACCTTGTATGTATGTATGTAGGTATAATGCGTGACGCGTGACAAGGTTAATCGATTTATAGGTACCTAACCATAGTGACGTACCTGACCTGACTCTGGTTTGAACAGCGCCGCCAACCCCTCCTGGGGCAATTAGGACGCAGTTAACCCCGCGCTAGGGGTAGTTTATAGTTCGACCTCGTGGAGCGAAGTGGCATCCTCGTGGCAGGGGTAGCTAACTGCGGCGTAAAAACCACTGACTCTTATGGCCGCCATGCTTCGACGGTCAGAATGTAACCGATGCAACAGATGACACTACTTTTCGGTGGCTCCGTTCTACGGGACTGGTACACCCCTTATTAAGGGGCGTGCAGCCCCGGCTCGTGCCATGTGGTGCCCCTGCCACTAACCACCCCCCGACACGTCATCGGTACGGCTAATTTATGGTGCTATAGATATGGAGGATTCATTCCTTTGCTCGTCCAAGGTTTATTCACGTGACTGTACGCAGGGGGGACGGAGGTCAACCCTTTGACCGAAAGGGATGAAAAAAAAAGTTAACGTTTTTAAAGGAGTTTCAACAAAGTTTTCGGATAACAGAGTGCCGGAGAACAGAGGTATCTTATCTTGACAGATTAAGGGAAATAGTGTCAGTAGCACCGTAGACAATAACTTTGCTAATGATTTCGACCCCTGAAATTCATACGACCGTCCTCTCTTTTGTCCCCGACAAGAAACATAAAAAGGAATTGAGTTCGACAGAAAATCTCCATTAGCTGGATCACCCTGTAGGATTTATGGATACTGGTGATATTTTTTTTACTCTTAGCAAGATGGTAGTTATTGTCAGGTAAGTCACCTCAAATTCTACAGTTAACTCACGCCCTCTCTGTACGGCTATTTTTTTCAGGCACTAAGTGAAGTACTGTGTTAGAACCACAGGAAGTATTGTATTCACGGAATCTCGTAAAACCCCACGATGTCTGTTTTAAGTTTAAAAAAATCAATACCGAAGAAAAGTATTTGAGAAACGATTTTTTCAATGCCTTCGGCATCTCCGTGCGCAACAATAATCAGAAAGATATGAAAAGCTTAGGCGGATGTATTATTTAACGATACGAAACAGATATAAAAGAAGCCACGTGCCGTTCGCGTGGCTTTTCAGTGGAACGGCATGTCGGGCTAATTCCACGGGGAAGGTAATACAAACGTCGTATTCCGGTGTCATGTGTGGGAAATCGTTGGACGCACCAGAGCAAAACGGCACGCGACAGCGAAAAAGGTGCTCGAGAAAAAAGTTCCTGTAATTTTGAGAACCACTGTCAGCCATTTTGTCGTTAACCATCCATGAATGCATAGGCGTAGACATGAGTTGGTTATACGGAGACGTCGATGTATCGAAATAACTCTAAAGTCACGTGAACAATAATCACAATACGGCGACTGCTTCCGTGACACAAGGAACAACTGAATCTTGGATTTTCATACGAAAACTTATTCTAACCTGTCAGAGGTAAGAATGAATCTTAACAAAAGTCACGATCAGAGCACTCGTATAGGTAATTACTTGACAGTACAGCTGGATACAGTATGCAGATAGAAAACAGCATCCTAACGGAGCTGCCATGTCGCGCTTATTTACAATGTATTTATACTCGTACTCATTGAAATTATAACCCCGGTGTCGCGAGTAACGGCGTTTCACCCCTTACTGTGAGGTTGATGGTCGTTTAGTACACGTCAAGTATGTCCAGTAAAGTCGTACGGTTATGGCTGCAGTTACAGAAGAGACACTTTATGAAATAATTTTTTCCTTCTAACCCTCAAAAGAGTAATACGTTCGTATATCGACTGGATCGCGTAGTGGATGTCATAAACGTGTATTGCTAGACTGCATCCGTTATGGCATAACTACTTTCATGTACGACTAGGGCACGTGTATACTCGACTGACGATAGCAATTGGTATAAAACGTAGCGGGTAGATTTTTAATAGATTCCGAAGAGCCCTCATGCATTTTGACCGTTATTACTTCCTACCTTGATGTCTTCCGGAAGAAGTCGTATCTTTGGAATCTCCCGGCAAAAGTGCAAAGCGTCAAGAACTCACGAGCCGTGACGATCGTCGTGTTGTTTCAGGTTATTTGCTTTGTCGTTCCACTTTTATTTCACTAGGCTACACGGCAATGTTTGAATCTACAAAACGGATAGATTGCGGTTCACTGTAGACGTTATACACAGAAACCGGGAGGTCTGACTTTGTGTGGATTATAAACCGTGTAACGAACATCGATAGAAACGCCGAGACCGTAGGAGCCACCGAGTTTGCCGTAACAAATTTAGTTCCTTTTGTCTTCGCTACGAGTCGCCGCGGTGGCGCGTGGCGCTGGGCGGTAAAAACAAAGATTAGTCACGAGGCCGTTACGCATTTTATTGTTGCTTAGTTCTGGAAAATGTATTTGTAACATTAAAAACGAAGTGTTTATGCTTTGCAGCTCATGAACAGACCCAAGATTAGTTATGAGTTTCGAAGGCATGACGAGACTGAACCATCCCCTCTTGTATACTTGGGATCAATTTCAAAATAGCATCGAGCCATGTCTAATGACTCATAAATTGCTCGACTCCCCTATTCAATTTTGCCCCCCTAAACTCTGTTCAGTAGTTAGGTTAGGTCGTTAAAAATGATATTTACCATTCTCATGAGTTATCTATTTCAATTTTTCTAGTCTTACTCGAAAAAAAAGTATCAAAATAAAATGACTCCTATAGGCCTGTAACTGTTCTCTTTACTACCGAAGTCAAAATAACTATTGTTTTTATAACTTTCTCAATTCGGTACTGGCTTCACTGGTAATCGTACTAATTAATCAGTTCGTACTTCACACCTTGGTGAACCCACCTTGTGCAGTTCCGTGCGATCCCTCGTCACGAAATGCTCATAAAAGAACGGAGGATCCGAACAAGTTCCGGTTGGTTCAACGCCACGCGTCCTTTCCGGAAGTGTAATCTTGGCGATATACATGCGCATTATTATTATTATCAAAATTAAGACTGATATATACATATATATACACCGTGATAAATTTCATATTCATCAACCACAGAGTTCAATCAAACTATGTAAATTAAGCATAAATTAGCTGTAACTCTTTCACTCACCGTCCGACTTCCTTAGACACACAAGCGTGTCTTTCTATTTTTCTTCCCCCCCTTTTTTTTCTCGTCTTCTTCTCCAGGATGACAAGGCAGGTGTCAGAGCGCAGAAGCACTTCCTAGGTGGCGGCTACGGCAACATGTGGCCGGCCGTTACCCGCGAATGGGCTAACCGCGCGGATTCTATGATTCCACGATTACCTTGAGATTCTAGGTATAATAACCCGGTACGATTCGCCGTATGAATTACGAGAAGCATTATGAATAATTTAGCGCGTTAAAGAATTTATTGTCATTTATATCGCTTACGGAGAAATTAATTCCTGAAATTTAGTGCCATTAAGAATAACGTGTGTGATAATATAACAGTCCAATTTTCTTCAAAAATTTCTTATACGCACAATAGGGCCACAATAAAAATATTACAAATTTATAGAATTCCCAAAAAAAAATTTTTTTAAATCAAACAGGTATCCACTACTGATTTTCTATACCAATTCAAACGACGACGGATACCAATTAATACTTGTTGATTGTGACGAATTGTTTTTTGATCGGTTCTACGCGTCGGGGTCCTGAATCGCATCGATTCCGTAACCGAAGACTGGAAACAAGTTTGATTCCTTGAAGCGAACGATTCTTCTCGAGTCAAGAATAAACCTACCAACAATTCATAAGCTTCCGAGCTTCGTCATGCTAGCAAACTATCCCACACACTCTCCTGAAATGCCTTTGGTACGTGGTACTAGCATAGGATTCTAGGATCACGTATGTATCATGCCTTCACAGTATATCACTGATAGAAGTTCAGTGACTGTCAGAAGAACTATGAACTCAGGATCAATAACGGTCCGGCTTATGGATGCTGATCGAAAATGATTCTCAATAAGATAAAAATGATGATACGCATTAAATTAAATGAAAATATTTTTTTATTATTCTTTCGTGAAATTTTTGAAAAATTACATTTTTTTTATTGAGGCAATTTTTTTCAAAAATCAGTTGAGCGACACTGACAGATCGGATTCACGTTACGTGTAAATAAGTAATTAGTATTATTAAGTCGTATCTTGGGCTGCACTGTACGGTTCAAAGTATTAAGCCGTGTTTGATTCTTAAGATGAAGAAGGAAGATGCTGAGTGTAATGGTATACCTACCTGTACAGTTTACGGAAATCAATAGAGTTCAATGCTAATCCATTGACAATAGGAATCATCAAGCAATCAGTACCGTGACTGAGATTAATATATTGAATTCTAGTTACTGAGGATAAGTGTTTGAACTTTTTAAATTGCCTGTACGAACCGCATATAATGAAAGTGTGAAATGAGATTTGAATTTTTTTTTCGAAATTTTTTTCAATTTCAAATTTGTGTTTAAGACATAGTCAAATTTTAAAACCGATCGTTCACTCAATCACTGAATGAGAGGCTGGGCAGTATAACGAGATGTAAAAAGAAATTGGCAAAAACACGTTTAAAAAATTTTAGCCATTAAACGTCCCACGCACCCTAACCTGTAATTAGAACACCTTGGGTGTGATTCTAATTATGGGTTCGCAGCACCATAAATCTCAAACCATTAGAAGAGCCAAGAAGGTCATGTTTGGATGAACCCAGTCCGTCGTTTTAGGTATAAGAGAAACAAATGCCCTGAAAAGAGCCGCTTATGTTTTATTAACCTTTGAACCCAACCAAACCCGACGGCAATATTACGAAAAACGAATAATCAAGAAATTACTTAAAAAGTCTATAAAAAAAAATACACTGCCAATTTAATATTGATTAGAATCATTTTGTAATTTTCATAATTATTATCGTAATACTGTAATCAATCTAACTCCAATCCCTATACAGGACGCTTGATAATTGTTCCAAATAAGGTTATGTATCAAGTATACGTGTAATAAGTTTACGCAAAGAGATTGGCCGACGTGGACCTAGCACGTAACACGTGGTCGCAACACGTCCGTCAGACGAGCCATTATGCAGTAAATCACGGTCGATTGTCTGAACTGTAACTCGATGTGTAGGCAGGTAATAATCAATTTATGCTCTTCATCAAAACCTTATAAATTGATTATCTGTACGTCATATCCAGACGCGACTCAAGCCAGCCTTCCCGGTCTGTACCTTTTTCGTCCCATGGACAAAACCAGCCGCATACAACGTCCGCAAAGTATACATATACCCTCGTTTCGCCGCCATTATCACACTGCATTACAGCTACGTTACATTACCAGCATTACCATCGGCATTGTCGTGATTATTCCAATTAGTATAAATACACTATACACCAGTGCTTGCAAAGTGCCAGTGCAATTACATAACAATAAAAAAGATTATATCGTAACAATCTTAAGGACGCTGCGTCTAGAAAATTATGTAGACGAGACATAAATTTTCTTCATAAATTAAGCCCGGTCCACTGACAGGATCCTACGTACCTATAATATACGACCTGTAAGAAAATTCTATATATATCAGATACGCAGTAAAAACCAAAAGCGAGACCCAATTCCGCAACAGTTCATTTGGAGACGTATTAGCGGAGGATAATGAGCTTTCAGTTTCACCAGCCGGCCTCCTTTTAGCAAATTTTTGGCCCCGTGCATCGAAAAATATTTTTCTTCCCAATTTTTTTTTTTCAAACTGCTGAGTTTCCGGCAAAAGGGAAAAAAAGGGACCGAGAGGGTCTCAAAAATTAAATGAGATACGCCCCACTCAGGAGCCTTCAGTGATTCCGTCCCAATGGGTCTGTCCTCCTTATACGTGTATATATAACGTACGCATATACGTATATACATCAGTAACTTAGTCAACCCACATTAAAAAAAAGGAAAAAATTTGACTATTTTTTTTTCAAAAAAAAAAAAAATTTATAACTAAGAAACAATTTTACGAACGGATAAAATTAATTCTAGGATTTGATTAACACGTTTATACATATCATATAGAGTTATTGCCGATCAACTTACCACCTGAAGTTAGCCTGTCCTTTACCAACTTCAGGTGGTACGTTTCTCTATGCAGATATATACAGTAAGACACCGGTTAACGCTTAATATACGTTCTTCGAATCTGAGCTAATCAAATCAGCACTAATAGGAACCACGTGACACAGCGAAGATAAAAAATAGTCGTTTAAAATATAATTACAAATAATCGCTCTTACGTCGTTAAACAGAAGATTAATTTTCCTCGTTACTCTGCATAGGAAATAGCGAGGGGTTTGAAAATTGGAGAAATTACCATTTTAGTTGGAATTTTGAAAACCGTGCTATATATGGTAACTGCTTAAACAAGGGTACATATACATATATATATATATTTATATATAAATATAAACTCATCTGACACCGGGTGTTGACTGTTTTGTTTCTCAAGCCGCTGGAGCTATTGGCTTTTCCTAATAGTTCTAAGCCGCGATTGACGCACGTGTATCGAGCAATATTTGCACAATAAGCCACCCACGGATCGGCGAATATATCGCGAATCGGTACAGGCAAATATTGCAAAATAAGTTGGACAAATTTCGTTCTCATACCCGAAGCTCCGACCACGGCTACTTAGTGGCTATTATTGCTGATAAACGAAAAGGACAAGGTATGTTCACAACTGGTCGACTACGACAGTCACTAGCACGTAATACGTCGTACGATTTATTAAAAGTTTACAGGTATAATTAGCCATTGCGAATTTGGTTCCTTACCGATATCACCAGCAGACGTAGTCAAATTTGCAAATATTGGTATAGTAAGTGTCAATTTTTACAACACCCATCCTATCGGGTACAACGCTCTATCGGAGGGTACGGATTGGCGGATTTTTTTAGAAATATGATAATGGGAATATTATTGTTTTCTTGGAATTTATCATAGTCAAAATTATTTTTGAAAATTATTCATGAAAAAATTTTGAATTTTTCAAGGAAACACGGAAAGCGAAACGTTAAGAGGATATGCAAATAAATTCGATTTATCGTCGAATGCCAAGTCAGAAATATATATAAAGTTCAGTTTACAAGTAAGCGACAAGAGGATGCTCGTGCATGGTACCGAGTACATATTTCGAAAATAGAAGTCTATTTATGAAACTTCATTGTTGGCATATGTATACATATATATATTTTTTAGAATATCTTCTATCACGCGGTTTCTAATGCACGTCGAATGTTTACGTACGGACCTATCGCAACACGTAACACCGTAAACATGTTTTCGGTCAATGGCGTGTTGTCATTTGAAAAGTATAAGAACAAACAGCAAAAAAGAAACGTCAGCGAGGTAAACACCTGAGACATTTCGAGTAGAGAAAATACAAGTCAAGCCACGCGCTGCCACTCGTAAAGTACAGTCCTCGTAAAGAAGTCAAATTTGTCGACATTTGCCAACCCTGGGGCGTTTAAAGTCTCGTAAAGTAAGTGAAAATTGAGAAAGAGAGAGAAAGAAAAAAAATAATAGGTACCCAAAAGGTCAGTTTGAAAAATTCCCCAAAAAAAAAAAGAAAAAAAGCAGGTCAATACTAATTCCTTTGAAACCATCTGCTAGTAAAAACAAAGAAAAGTCCGATTTCGATAAGAGACTTTTTTTTGGAAATTTATAATTTTTGGGAATACGTCGATTTTTAAGAAAACAAATATTTTCCTACTACTCATTGGCTATTCTCGCGTTCCTAAATGATGTTGGATGACAATTTGTCGTCTTTCTCTTTCTTATCCATGACACGTGATGTCTCTTTCTCTCTCTCTCTCTCTCTCTCTCTCTCTCTCTCTCTCTCTCTCTCTCTCTCTCTCTCCCTCTC